CCACAGCTTTATCTTATGTTGTAAGTTTTTGGCCTGATTTTTGTGTGTTTAAGGACATCCAAACAAAGCAGACGATTGGTTGTGGTATTAGGTGAGGGAAACTGTATTACTTGGACTTGTTGTCAAAAAGTTCCGACAAGCTACGACAAGCATTGACAGTAGATGGTTCTGAGGGAGAGAAAGAAATCTGAAATCTGGCTGTGGCATCGACGTCTGGGGCATGCTTCCTTTGGTTATCTGGAAAAATTATTTCCTAGTTTATTTAAAAATTTTGATGGTTCTAGTTTACGCTGTGATGTTTGTGAACTAGCAAAGAGCCACCGTGCTTCGTTTCCATTATGTTTGAATAAAAGTCCACTTCCTTTTATGGTTATACATTCTGATGTTTGGGGTCTTTCCAAAGTTCCTACTTTAGGTGGATCACGTTGGTTTGTTACTTTTATTGATTACTGTACCTGGATGACCTGGTTGTGCTTGATGAAATCCAAAAGTGAAGTGAATTTATTGTTTCAAAAGTTTCATAAAATGGTTGCAACTCACTACAATGCACATGTTCAGGTTCTCCGTAGTGACAATGGTGGAGAATATCAGAGTTTTGACCTTCAACAATATTTGGAAGCACATGGAACTTTTCATCAAACCACTTGTTCCAATACACCCCAGCAGAACGGGGTTGCAGAGCGAAAAAATCGACACTTATTAGAAGTTGTTCGTGCTTCCTTGATAGACGCTCATATGCCGTTATCGTATTGGGGAGAAGCACTTGTCTCTGCAACATATTTAATCAATAGAGTACCTTCTAGCTCTGTTGACTTCCAGACACCATTGCAGGCTCTCACTGACGCCATCGTTGCCCTAACCGTCCCAAATCTACCTTCTTATGTCTTTGGTTGTGTAGCATTTGTACACCTCCATAAACATCAACGCAATAAGCTAACTCCTCGAGCGTTGCGATGTGTTTTTCTCGGATATGCTACTCATCAAAAGGGGTATCGCTGTTATCATCCTCCAACTCGACGAATGTTTATCACCATGGATGTTGTTTTCCATGAAGACTCGATGTATTTTTTCTCTGCGTCTGAACTTCAGGGGGAGTACCAGAAAGAAATTCAAACTCTAGATTATGATTATCACATTTTTGAGGATGGCGATTCTGGTGGTAATGACTCACAAGTTGGACCAGCCAATCAGGAATCGGGGCGAATTGGATTCAAGTGGTATAAGTTTGGATCAAAGTGGTGATGACCGCCCCGAAATGGAAAGTATGGTGCCAACTCCACCGTTGTCCGAGTTTGAGTCTCTCGCAACTGATATATCAAACCAATCGCCTGCTGAGGATGTTCCTAATTCAGTGCCTGAGCCACTCAGAAAATAATTACCACAACGTCACACTAGAGGTATTCTTAAACCCACATATGAACCCGAACTTTCTAGTAAAGTTAAGTATCCCATGAGTCATTATGTGTCGAACCATCGTTTGTCAGAATCAAATTTGTTATTTGTAAATCAATTATCTACTGTATCTATTCCTAACAGTGTGCAGGAAGCTTTAGCTGACCGTAGGTGGAAAGCAGCAATGAACGAGGAGATGAAATCCTTGCAGAAAAATAAAACTTGGAAACTCATTGATCCTCCACCAGGAAAGAAACTAGTAGGATGTCAATGGATTTACACTGTGAAGTATAAAGCTGATGGCACAGTTGAACGCTTTAAAACAAGATTGGTGGCAAAAGGTTACACTCAAACCTATGGAATTGATTATACAGAGATGTTTGCACTTGTAGCCAAAATCAACACAGTTCGTGTCTTGTTGTCTTTAACTGCAAACTTGGATTGGCCATTACAACAATTTGATGTGAAGAATGCCTTTCTGCATGGTGAATTATCTGAAGAAATCTACATGGATCTCCCACCAGGATGCATGATACCTGAAAAGTATAGTCGGAAAGTCTGCAAGTTAAAGAAATCATTATATGGGTTTGAAACAATCACCGAGAGTATGGTTTGGAAGATTCACAAAGTCGATGATAGCCTTTGGCTACTGTCAGAGCAATTCAGACTACACATTATTCCTAAAGAAACAACAGGGTAAGATCACTGCACTTATTATATATGTAGATGACATAGTGGTTACAGGGAATGATCCTGAAGAAATGAAGGCTCTCAAGAAGTACTTGTCCAGAGAATTCAAAATGAAAGATCTAGGTCATTTGAGATATTTTCTTGGGATCGAAGTATCTCGGTCTAATAAAGGAATCTTTTTATCTCAAAGAAAATATGCCTTAGATCTATTACAAGAGACTGGCATGACAGCATGTCAACTAGCTGAGACACCAGTGGAAGAAGGACTGAAGTTATGTGTTGAGTCCAACCAAATACTTGCTAATAAAGGAAGATACCAAAGACTTGTAGGGAGATTGATGTGCTTAGCACACACAAGACCGGATCTGGCTTATGCATTGAGCATTGTTAGCCAGTTTATGCATGATTCTGGAGAGCAACATATGACTGCAGTTATATGCATTTTGAGGTATCTGAAATCTGCTCCTGGAAAAGGAATTTTGTTCACTAAAAATACTGGTTATCAAAACATAGATGCATATACTGATGCTGACTGGGCTGGAGCTATAGATGATAGGCGATCTACTTCTGGTTACTTCACTTTTATAGGAGGTAATCTTGTTACATGGAGAAGTAAGAAACAAAATGTTGTTGCTCGCTCGAGTGCAGAACTGAATTCAGAAGTATAGCACTTGGACTTTGTGAAACTTTGTGGTTAAGACTTCTTTTGCGGGATTTGGGTTATCTACCTGGGCAACCGATTCGACTATATTGTGACAATAAAGCAGCGTGTGATATTGCCCATAATCTAGTTCAACATGATCGTACAAAGCATGTCGAAATAGACAGATTCTTCATTAAGGAAAAGTTGGATGGAAAAATTGTGGAGTTGCCTAATATTCGATCTGAGGATCAACTAGCCGACATTCTCACCAAAGCAGTCTCAAATCAAGTGTTTTCAAATTTTTTAGACAAGTTGGGTATGTGTGACATCTATGCACCAACTTGAGGAGGAGTGTTGAGATTTTACCTATTGTACAACTGTAGAATTGAATTATTTTCTCCTTAATTTAGGGCTAATTGGTAGGTAATTAGTTTCCCGATTATTGTATATTTAGTTACCTATTTTAGCTAGATATTACTCTATAAATTGAATGTAACAGCATCGTGAATATTATTGAATTGAGTTTTGATTCTCATATTCTTTCTCTAAATTTGAAGATCAGCAATATGAAGAATGCAGAAGGGTAGAAGAAGGGAGAGAAAATCAGTCCAGTGAGAGAATTTGAGCAATGGTAGGGAAGAAGCCGCCGTTAGTTCCCTTGGCCCTTGCCTCTTTTTCCGTGCCTTTTTTTATTTTATTTTTAGTCTTAGGTCATTCAGGTGGTACATTTGTTAGGCCTTCAATCTAAGAACAGGTCAGGGTCTTGTTTTCCTTGGGTCATGTTGCCCTAATCCCTATATTTCTGGAGATACTGCCAAGTGTACCTTTCCTGTTGAATGCTCCAAAAATGGCAAGCTGTAAAGGCAATTATACTATTCCAGCTGTCTTTTGCTCTTATCCTCAAATTGGGTCTTGCTTTAGTGGGTAAGACATTACTAACTTTCTATCCTCCATTCAAAGATCCTTTCTGTATCCCATCGTCACTTGAAGAGCCCTACCATAACTTTTCATTGCTCGGATCGAGGTCGGATCGAGGTTTAAGGCCCGTCGATCGACAAATTGTATTGAGGTCGGATTGAGGTTCAAGGCTCGTCGATCGACAAATTGTGAAGAGGTTGGATCGAGATTCAAGGCCCGTCGATCGAAAAACTGTAGAGGTCAGATCAAGGTTCAAGGCCCGTCGATCGACAAACTGTGAAGAGGTCGGATCGAGATTCAAGGCCCATCGATCGACAAGTTGTGAGGAGGTCGGATTGAGGTTCAAGGCTCGTCGATCGACAAATTGTGAAGAGGTCAGATCGAGATTCAAGGATCGTCGATCGACAAACTGTAAAGAGGTCTGATCGAGGTTCAAGGCCTGTCGATCAACAAGTTGTGAAGAGGTCGGATCGAGGTTCAAGGTCGTCGATCGACAAATTGTGAAGAGGTCGGATCGAGGTTTAAGGCCTGTCGATCGACAAATTGTGAAAAGGTCGGATCGAGGTTCAAGCCCATCGATCGACAAATTGTGAAGAGGTCGGATCAAGGTTCAAGGCTCGTTGATCGACAATGTGTGTAGAAGTTGGGTCGAGGTTCATGGCCCGTCGACCGACTGGAGGTCCGATCATGATTCAAGGCCCATCGACCAACTGTGAAGAGGTCGGCTCGTGGTTCGAGGCCCAAGGCCCATCGACCGAGTGTTGGACCAAGGTTTGATGCCCCGTGGTCGAATATTACTTAGTCTTGCTGAGGTGGACTTTGTCAAAGTGTTGACTGTTTGACTTAATCCTGGGTGACGTGGCTGAACCACATCCACAATATAATAACTATAAGAGCTCTTTTTATGTTCCTACATTTGAAATTGAGTGGAAAGGTATTAATGACTTGCATTTCTAGGCATTCCTTATGCATTCTCATAGATGAAAAACTTGGATCTGTTGCATATATAATAAATCTGAGGGTGAGACAGGGTAATTGAAATGCATAGCTTTCTATAATTGTAGTCAGTCTGTATGAATTACTAATGTTGTATGGATTATTCTGGTGATTGTGGGAGGAATGAAGTATACAGCTTCCTACAGTAGTACTAGGAGGTCTCAATAGTTTGGAATTGTATTTTTGACATAACTGCATATGTGTATGCTATTGGATTCTTTTCTAATATTGGATGGTTGGGTTGATTCGTTTTTCTTCATCTGTTGTACACGAATGTTTTTATTTTTTGTTGGTATGCATGCTTAATGCTGTTTGAATGTGACAAAATACTTTCTTATCCGTGGTCTTGTTTTAGGTAATTAAATTGCTTGGCTTTCAACCCTTTTAATGAGTGGGTTGTGGCAACGGGGTCCACCGATAAGACTGTTAAGTTATTTGACCTACGCAAGATCTCCACTGCTGTCCACACATTTGCTTGTCACAAGTAAGGAATTTTCTCCCTTGCATCATAGATGCTTTATTTTTCAAGATATATTTCTGAAAATATTGTAGATTTTGATAGTATCTTTTTATCTCGGTTGCTGTGAGAGTAACTAGGTGTATACATACATATTTTGATACATATGTAAGCACATATATAAATACACACACACGAACATGTACATATGAGTATCTATTTGTATGTGTAAATATTCTGAACTCAATTATTGTCATGATTTACAACAGGGAGGAGGCTTTTCAAGTTGGGTGGAATCCAAAGAATGAGACCATCTTAGCTTCTTGTTGTCTTGGTAGGAGACTTATGGTGTGGGATCTTAGCAGGTTTGTTTTTTATCTTACTGACAGCAGTTTTTGTAAAGGATTTCTATTTATGTAGAAGTGTTAGCTTTAATCTAGCTTTTGCTTCATTATCAGAAATTTCAATCTTTATCTTGATATAACTGAAGCACTTGCTGCACAGTAAGAAATTTGAAGCTATCATGGCAAATTACAGAAAGATAAACAATGCCTAAATAAATTTGAGGCATCAACTTGGATTCTTCAATGCTTACAGATGTCAAAGCCGTGATTTATTTTCTTATTGTTTTATACAACTCTCCAAAATGTTATGATATGTTTGTCTTGATCATAGAGGGCCATCAATTTGGGTTTTTAAGTATTATTTGAATTTATAAACATTAGGCAATGTGATTAAATTTATATTTTAGTTGCTATCAGTAAAAGATGTTTACTAATTTTATTTTAGTTTCAATATTTTATGAGCATAAATGCACATTAACATGAGAAGTTGTTGAAGTTAAACACGTTCAAACAATCTTATTATTTCAATGTTCTAGTGATCTGGATCTTTTTTAGTATTAATAAATTTTTTAAATCTCTAAAAAGGGGAAAATTTTCAACATATTTGAAACTTATTGAAGTGGAATACTTTAAAATGTCATCACTAAGATCTCAGATTAGGTATTCTAGTTTCAATATCAAGACGTGAGGCATGCAAGTTGGAACCTGTTTTTCTCTTTTATCAGCAGTCTTAACCGGGTAAAACAGTCAGACAAGTGTGTAAAATAACGATAACCTTGCTACATTCCCAGGATTGGTGAAGAGCAGACACCAGAAGATGCTGAAGAAGGTCCACTCGAATTGCTCTTCATTCATGCTGGTCATACGAGTAAAAGTTCAGATTTCTCATGGAATCCATGTGAAAATTGGGTCATTGCCAGCCTAGCGGAAGATAACATTCTTCAGATCTGGCAGATGGCCGAGAACATCTACCACGATGAAGACGATCTACCAAGGAGATGAATCCACAAAAGGTACCACCTAGTCAAAAGGTTAAATAATTGGGTCAAAGAAGAAGTCCGCTAATTGGGTCCAGTTCTTGGGCCTGGCCCAAATTCAATCCAACTACATCTTACCATTTTTTTGGTGCAATAGTAATAAGTCATGCTTATGGACGTCTATAATGTTATTATTGAATCACTTGTTGAATTCAGTTGATCTAAAGGAAATCAAACTCCTAAATATTCCAAAATTTCGGAAAAAAATGATGTTGCATGTTCATGTTATAGAATTGGAAGAGTAAATTATTATGTTTCAGATTTAAAATGAACTTTTTCCAATCTTAAAACTGATTTATGTCGTTAAACGCAGCATAAATGTACTTTATTCGTCTAATATTCGAACCAAGTCATCTAATGGTATTTTTTTTCTCATTTCAAAGTAAAAATTAGAAGGTTAGAGTCGCTCTCTGCTAGCGTAGTGCAAAATTGTGTAAAACTATTAGTATTATTTATATAAAAAATGGTTATATTCATTGTTTCAAATTAATGTTCAACTTAAATATTTGTAATCTAATGATGTCGAGGAGGAGGACAGATTAGATATTGTCATTGTCAACATCTTTTTTTCTTAAGAATACAATAAAGGATTATTTTGGAACACAGGGTATATTTCATTTCGATTTAAACCATAAGAAATTTCGGAATTCATGGAAAAATTGATTAAGAGGTCATTATCAATATGATTTCTCTTGGATTAAATGGTCTGGATTAATACCACAAAAATGGCTAAATAGAGTCAATGTGTCGGTGTTGGTGACTATCTTAAATAATACTGTTTATAAATGTTTATACAAGGATATCCTCATTTTAACTTTTTCAAAAAGAAAGATATATTTCAATTTACTGAAACTGAGCTATTTTAAAGAAGGGAGAGTATTAAAAAAAATCAACAAATTAGTCTCTTCAATTTTCCATTTTCTTTACTTTTTCCTTTATTATTTTTATTTTGAAAATATTTTTTTGTGAAGTCATTTCCGGTACTAATTGATTGACAAAAATTAAAATTAATCACCCTTCCTCAAGAATTTAAACGGTATTTCTTCCATGTGGTTGAAAACTTGTGAATATTTAAACTTCATAAAAATAAATACTCCATAAATATCTTTATTGAATTTTTTGTCGGTTCTTTCTCACATTCCTTACTCTATTCAAAGCCTCTCATACGACAAACAGGAGAAGATATTGGGATCCGAACCTACTCACGCGTGCACATAATTTACCGATTAGAGCATTTGTTATTTTAACCTCATTTAACTTCGTTTTGGAAAAGTGACTTTAAATAAATACTCTAATTTTTATATAATATATATTTATTTTACTAAGTCCCTGATTTTCATATTAGGGAAGGGTAAGATTTTCATGGAAGTACAAAATTATTATTTGATAAAATTTGATCAATAGAAAATAATATTGAGGGCATTCACTTATTGTATTATTGTGACACGCTAAATTTCAAAGAAGTCAAGATAATAAATGTCTACGGGTGATTTGTTCGCTAAATTTTAAAGAAGTCAAAATAATAATGGTCTACGGGTAATTTGTTCAACCCTCGTGGGAGGCCAGTGTAAATAAACATACTACATTGCTACATCTGGAGCGTAATAAGTCACGTACACTTCGAGCTCGTGGAAAGGCTTCTCTCTGTAGTTTCTACGGAGTACAAGTTAGCATGTTGCCTCCTTTCATTAGCTACAGCCGAGAGAAGAGCGTATAAATGACATCTCTCTCTCTCTCTTTCTCTCTCTAAAAACACACACAAAACCAAAATATAAATTCCCATCTTCCGTATTACTTTATTCGAATCTAACTGTCTTATCGCGTGATTTCTGACTCTGCACGTTGTTTCGTTTCATTTACGCCTGAATTATATATAAATCTCTGGTGTGTATATATATTGATTGATCGTTATTGACATATAGAACAACTGTATTGTGGTCTCTGCAACTATTTTTTCTTGGATCTAGATTTGCTCGAAGCACAAGGTAGGTAGTATTGTTCTTTGCTTGTTAAACTAATCTTCAATTACACAAAGTTTTAGCATATATTTTGATTAGCAATCACTAATTTTTTGTTAGTTTGAGTAAGTGTTGTCACGGTGTATATTAGCTTTTCAATATTTTCTAATCTTTAAGTCATTTAAATCTTTTGGTTCTAGCGTTTTCTGTGAAGTATACTGTAATTTTTTTAGTATCTTTCTTTCTTTTTTTTTTTTTTTTTTTTTTTTTTTTTTTTTTTTTGTTTACCATGAGTTTTAAATGTGAATTTCAATTATCTTGATATTTTGGTATCTGAATTTTGAAGGCCCTTCAAAATAATGCCTGCAACATTTATTATGCTTTAATTAAAGCAATTTTTTACTTGTAAATATATATATATAGAACATCTGCGCATATTGAAGTAGGGAGGAGATCCGTGCCTGGTTATGGACTACCTTTTTGCCTTGATGCTCTGTTCCATCGTCATGGTTGAGAATTTAAATAATTGAAGTAGGGAGGAACCTAATGCAACAGTCAATACTTATCTTTTCTTCTAAATTAAGTATGAATGGTACTTGGTTTTTCTTTCGTTTACACGTGTGTTTATCTATCTACATTGGTAGGTCCGTTCCTTTATGATTTGTTGGGTTGATCCTGGCAGATTTGTTTCTAATTTTCTGAATCAATCCACCTATGTAGCTGCATCCACTGCGGCTGAGATCAATTGGTTGCAGAATCTCCTTTCGTTGTCCAATCCATGCTACTCGAACGAGTCTTTTGTGACAATGTCGGGACCACATTGTAAGATTATTTATTTAATTATGCCCCACATGATTTGGACATGTGATTATTACTTGATGACTAAGTAAATAGATATCAATTAATATTATTTATTTTTGGTCATCTTATAATTATCTTTTTGATAATTAATTAGTAGAGAAGTGTTTTCCTTTTTTATTTTTACTTTGATGGAAAATAAAATTATAATACTAAAAGGAAAATTGGTCTTCTCTCTACCTTTATAAAAGTGCATATATTTCATCAATTATGTACGATTAATGATACAACACGTAAAAGTTTTATGTGTGCAAAAGGCCAAAAGAGATAAACCAGTTTTCACTTTTGTCTGTTGATCAGAGTTACAGATTAGTTCGTAATTAAAGGATCTAGACGTTGGATATAATATCAACAAAGTTTGATATCATGAATTGAGGTATTTATATCTAACCATTTATTTATGCATTATATATTTATGCATTATAAATATGTAAAAATTATGAAGTTTTAAGATATGAGATTTATATAAATTTGTGATTAATGATTTAATACGAATTATTATAATTTACATGCGGTATCAGAGCAATATGGTTTATGAACTCATTGTTTTCTTTTAACCGTTGTATAAATAAAATTAAAATTAAAATTAAATGATTGAACGATCGATTAAATGGAATCCGCGATATATATATATATATATATATATATGTTTCAATCAATTTGTGGGTTGTAAGTTTTGATGGGTTTGGTCATTTATTTGGTTTACATACATCGATTTCGGAGCCTAACTGAGTTGACAGAAAGTTATTAACAACTTATACATAGATGTATAATAAGACAAACATGAATCTATTAAACTGTGTTTGTTTTTATTTTCGTGCATGATAGGCATACTAATTGGAATTGAAAAGTGATATCAGCTGGTATTGTTTGTTATTTATTGTTATTATTTTTTTTTATGAAACCCATTTGTATTTTAGATTCTATTTTATTAATTATATAAAATTTAATAAATACATAAAGCATGTGTATTTATTTATTTTATTATCTGAATTTTTAAAAATAAAATGTTATCTTATTAGATCTACAAATAAATTATTGTTTTATACTCAAACATACATATATGATGGAGAATTAATTTTATATTGATTCAATTATGATCTTTAAGTCCAAAAATAAAATAATATGTTTTATTTTGTATATAAAATAAAAAGATATTTTCTATAAAATTTCGGACAATTAAGTTTTTGAGATCGAAGTTGCTTAAACTTCAATCGACAATTATGAGTATGTGTGTATAACGTTTAATGGGTAAATTAATGATTAACTAGTTACTAGCTAATTTAATATTCATATTATGTGAATGTTAGTAGCTACCAAAGTGGCCTAACCATAATAGTCGATGAATATTAATTTTAGTAGTAAATATAATTTAATGATGAATTAATCACTGTCTAATTTAATATTCATATTATGTGAAAATTAGTAGCTACCAAAGTGGCCCAATCATAATGATTGATGAATATTAATTTTTGTAGTAGACATAATTAATCATAAATTGGTTACTATCTAATTTGATATTTATATTATGTAAAGGTTGGTAGCTACCAAAGTGGCCTAACCATAATGGTTGATGAATATTAATTTTAGTAATAAACATAATTACAATATTTCATGAATTATGATTAGGGGTGCACACGGTTCCGATTCTCACGGTTCCGGTCGGAACCGGAACCGGAACCGTTCACGACGGTTCCTTGAAAACAGAACCGGAACCGGAACCGTATAGTATGGAACCGAACCGTTCGGTTCCCATGGAACCGTTATTATTCTACCATACACTTTTGCACAAATCAAGCAATTGTTGTACTGAATATCACTTGGTTTTATAAGAACTAAAATCACCATAACAGAGAAAAAATAAAATTAAAAAAAAAAAGAGAGAAGAAGAATGGAAAAAGTCTCAAATAAAGGCTTGTCTGATGGAGAAAAAAGAAAAGGGAAAGGAAAAGCAACAGTACAACAATTGATATTCAGTATAAAATCACTTCCTTTATTTACTTCCGAAGAAATAAAATTAATCATGCCAGTACGAGAGAGAGCGAGAAAAATGAGAGAGAAATTTATAAAAAAGAGAAAAACTAAATATATATACACACACACACACACACACACACTAACCAACTTGGAAATCAACTACTTGCAACTGTGGAGCGTGGTGAGATCTTGGTAGCCGGCGCCGCTACTGCTGTTAGCTTAGGGTTCATCACTTCATTTGTTAGTACTTTAGATGAGAGATTAAGATGAGGCAAGGACTGTAAGAGAGAGAGAGAGAGAGAGAGATTTAAGGCCAAAAACTTAAAAAATAGACTTTTGTTTTCACGGCTCAGTTTGTATTTACTTCCTTTTTAGTATAAAATTAAATATATAATACATATATATATATATATATATAATATATATATATATATGTATATATACGGTTCCAGTTCTTACCGGTTCCCACGGGTTGGAACCGGAACCGAAACCGTGAGAACCGGGAAAAACGGTTCCGGTTCTACGGTTCCGGTTCTTTTGTGCACCCCTAATTATGATGCTTATTATTTTTTATGATATTTATAAATATTGAGTTTATTTAATTATGAGAAATAATTCTCCAAAGGGAATTGATTTTCAAGTGATTAAATGAAAATTAAGGGATTGCATGTATTTTTTAATTATGTAGATACAGGATATCTAAAGGTAACTTATCTGTTTAATTAAATAATACATCACCAATGAAGGTATACATATAAATACCAATAAGATCATTATTAGTATTTTATAGTTGCCACCTGTAAACACTTAAATTTAGTGGGCTTTGGTTTTAACGAATGGACCCATTAAATATAGGCCTAATGTTTAAATAAATTATTTAATTTACCAGGCTTGGTCCACTTAAATTATTTAATTAGCCCAGCCCAGATAATTAAATGAAACGATAATTATTCCTAATAAAATATATTTTGAATAATTATCTTTAAGAATAATTATCACAATATAACCGGCCCGGCCCAGTTATAGTTTTATCCTTATCAGGAGATGACACGTGTCATCATCCTATTAATCCAAGAAGCCTATAAATAGAGGCTTGGAGGAAGAAAAAAGGAGAGAGGATTCAGAATTCAGAAGTCTACAAATTCAGACACAAATTCAGAATTCAGAAGTTCAGAGACTCAGAAATCCAGAGACTCAGAATTCAGACACAAATTCAGAATCGAAACCAAAAAGCGAAAAACATCAAGCACATCCAACAACGTGCCGTTCTTCATCAAATTCCACAGTGATTCAAGAACAAGCTCGTGCAGCCCTTGGATCCAACCAACCAAAAACAAGGAGATCGAATCAGAGGACCTTTCTTTTTTTATAAAAGATATTACAAAGGACTGTACTCCACATTTATAAATTAATAAAATTCTATTTTGCTCCATATTTTGTTTCTATTGCAGACTTACAAAATTTGTGTGTACAAATTTGTGGCACGCCCGGTGGGACTACCTTTGCCTCTCATCTCTTTCTCCTACCATCAAGTTTCTTCTCTATCAGATTCTATGGCTCCCCCTAAGATTCAGACAGACAAGAAAGCCCAAAAGAACTTCGCTATTGCAAAGGTCGACGCTAAAGCCACCATGAAAAGTGGCACGAAGACCAAATTAAGCGATGGAAGTACCTTGACGGGCCCTGTGACACGTAGCAAGTCCCAGGCGATGGCGTCATTCAAACTTCAGCAAGATGTGGTGAAAACTAATCCTGCAACACCGGCGAACGTGAAAACTCAACATGTCAAAAACCTTGACATTGTTCCAGAGGAGGCTCCACCACTAGATTCACTTCGTTCTATCTATGATGCTCACTCTAGTGTCGGTTCACCCCCAGAGTCACCACGTCAGACTTCGGAGCAATCAATCACTTCAAGGAACGTGGATTCTCAAGGCCTATCATACTCATATGTGGTTGCTGCTATGATGACTGGAGCTGCTATGGTGGAGGAACAACTAGCAACTATGGCTCATTCCATTGAGAACCTTACAAAGACTATTGAAGAAAAGGACTTGCAAATTGCTACACTAATGAATAAATTGGAAGTTCAGACCTTTGGTGAAACACCAATGCCATCCGGGAATCGTGCAACTTTCATATCACCACCGTCTGGGAAACCTACATCTTCCACAGCAATACTAACGGAGAATCCTAATTCTACAACACAAGGTACTCACAGGGAGAATCCCAAACAGACGCCGGTGACAGAACAAGCGACCAGTCAAAACCAGACGCCGGGGATAGAACAGGCGACTGGTCAAACCAATCATACCTCTTCTTCAGTCTCTTTATTATCTGTCGAACAATTGCAAGATATGATAACGAATGCAATCCGAGCTCAATATGGTGGTGTCTCATAGAGCACTCTCATGTACTCAAAGCCCTATACAAGGAGAATCGACAGTATGAGAA